TGATTCCTAGTCTAATATATATATGTCTATACATTTATGACTATATATGCATGTTTTTGTGTATGCTATACATGCATATGTGAACTCTTCTTATGAAAGAATCATTTTAATGTGACCTACATTTTTATAGGACTCAAAAAAATCACAAATGTTTACCAATTTTAAATGACAAAGATTAATCAAAAACAAATAAATAGTAATAGACAGAAAATACTTAAATGTATATTTAGAGTCAAGAGAATTATCCATACTCATATTTCACTAAGATGAAACTGATAGCATAAATCACTAAAAAGCATGTCATCATTGAATCTGACTCTGAACATAGCAAGCAGAGGAAAAACAGGAGTCACAAAACTAAGTCTTGAGCCTCTATAGCCTCCAGCATTGCCTAAACCTGAAATGCAAAGTTACTACAAAATAAAGTAAGGTCTCCACAGCTCCTCAGTCAGATCAAGCTAAGGGAAAACTGAAAACCACTATCTGCTTCCTGAGCAAGAACATGATGGCCCCGGGCCTTTCCAAAGATCTTCCAATGAGGGATAACTGTACCTGCTCCCTGCATGTTAATCAAGAGGGTCACCACAACTGGGAAGCAGAAAAAGTGAGTAAAAATACTGTAACACAGACATGATACAGGACAAGAGAAAGAAGTCAGACCTGAACAACAAGCCCATGCCTCACAACTAACAGAATCCTGTCACCGCATTAACCAAAGGTCTTTAAAATGGAGAAACCCACACACAGCATGTCTGCATGAGGGACAAGCTGCATTCCCTAGAACCCCTGCCCTTCTCCCAGATCCCAGGAATGAAGGAGCTCTCACAGCGAAATCCAGACATACCTGCAGATGTGAAGTACTCCAAGGCCTCCTGTGCAGGGCCATGAAACATGACTTTTCCCAAAGCCAATAAGGTGAGGCTATCAAAACATCTGAAGATGAAGTACGGGGGCTGATTAATGGAGAAGATGATTGTCCGTCCCCTCATAGACATCCTAAGTTTAAAGAGGGAAAAACCATAAGTTTCATTCCTGAAGTTACACTCGTTGTCCCCATTTCAGCTAGAATTTTCCTTAGAAACACATCTCACTTGCATTATGCACCTGATGGGAAAGCAAGCTGAAGCTTTCATTTAAAGGATTAGGACTAAGCTGGGATGTAGTGGCGAAAGACTTTAGTCCCAACACTTGGGAGGCAGAGTCAGGTGGACCTCTGAGTTTGAGGCCAACCTGGTCTACAAAGCTACAAAGAGAAACCCTATTTTGAAAAATCAAAAATAAACGAATAATTGAAAGATTAGGGCTTCCCACAGTTGTAGTGTCAGTAGTCCAGGGTCCACTAAAGTGCTACTGACAATGAAAATCCCTGGCAGTCTTCTAGAGATTGAGTGGGAATATCTAGGAGTCAGTGCAAGGAGTCCATATCATGACTACGCAGTCCAGGCAATGGGCAGGTTCAGTGAAGCTTGAGAACCAAGGACAGAGCAAATATTACAACTATGATTGTATGCACAATTCCCCCTAATTATTTACTTATGCCTCATCAGGAAGTGGTTTTCACTTTTCTGAAAATGTGATTCACAATTCTAATCTTGATCTCCCTGCTAAACACTTCAACAATAACCTCATTTCAATCTTACAATATCAGCATAAGGCAATTCTAATATAATTTCTCCTTTCTGTTTTCTAAGGCTTAAAATGTCAAGCAAAAGACCAATGGGTCACAGTTAGTGAGGGGCAAGCCTAGGATTTGATCATTGGTTTAATTCCATGATAGGAAATACTAAACTCAACTACCACTTTAGGATGTTATATCTTCTGTTAGGAGAACTGTAGGGAGAAACCCTGATTATAGGTATCGCTGGCCTCACCCTTTTGGGCATGGTCACAGTTATGTAGCAAGGGTTTAAGAAGGAGGGAGCTGAGCACGCAACTCTTTCACATGGCTGAGCTGACTGGGAAGCATTTCTGGCTCTGTCCTACTCAGGTGCAAACCTGGTCACTGATTCCCTTGCATGAGTATTTTCCCCCAATAAACTACCACTTATCAACCATCTCTGACTCCACTTTGTAATCATCAATAGAGAACCAATATCAAATACAGTATTGAAAACTGCTATGAAAATATTTTGTAAAAGCTGGGTATGGCAGCATATCTGTAATATCCTACCACTTGAGAGGATCAGGAGTTCAGGGCCCACCTAGGTTACATGAGACCCTCTTTCAAAAGACAAACAGAATGAATGAAAGAAAGAGAGGGTTTGGATGTGAGGGAAGGAGGAAGTAAGAAGGGAAGGAAGGAAGGAAAGGAGGGAAGAGGGAGGGAGAAAAGGAAAAGAGAATGAGAAACTGAAATGTGGTACACACCTTGAATGCCAGGATTTAGCAGGCAGAGGCAAGAAACTGAGATCAGCCTGGGCCACACAGTAAAATGAAAAACAAAATCAAACTTCAAGAAAAGCATCTCATAAGCATATACTATGAGGTGTCAATGTGTCCAAAGAGAGACTGCCTCAAAGACAATCAGGCCAAGTGGTAATATCAGCACAGGTGGAGCAGAAACATGCAAGGATTGCTTGTAAGCAAAATAAACTTGCAACCCTGACTGAAGGTAAAACAGTGTAATAAGAAGAGAAAGAACCAGCTGTACACAGTAGGAACTAACATGTCTACCCAAGAAACTATGAGAGCTCACTGCTATACAGCAAGGACTGTGTGTGCCTGAATGTGTTTGAGAAAGGGAGAAAGTAGGGAGAAGGGGAGACAGAGAAGAAGAAAGAGGTAGATAAAAAAGGACTGAGGGAAAGAAAAATAACAGGTGTGGAATTAATATTAAAACAGAGTAGGAAGAGCAGCTTCAGTGCAGGAAAATCCCTTCTGTCATAAGCTGGAACATTAGGTGGATGGTAGGAGAGAGCTTGTAAAGGTTCAGAGCAGAGAGCAGACATGACAGGAGCCTTCCTCAAAGTAAGGTCTAGACCTCAGTATCTGTGTCCTCAGTATCTCCTCCCACAGCATTTACTTAGGAATTCTTGGCAGTGTCAGAATCCCAGCTATGGGATCACACCTACAGGATCACACCTACTGGCAGAATCAGACCTACAGAATCATACCCACAGAAACCTACAGAAACCGAAAATGTTTTTTTTTTAATGAAAGTAAAATTTTGTTTTAAAAATGTGTATCCTTGTCAATGATTTCTTTAAGAAGTACTTATTTATTGTACAGGGTGTTTTGTCTGAATGAATGTATATCATGAGTCCCTGGGACATGCAGATGCAATAAGACTGCATAAGATTCCCTAGAATTGTAGTTACAGATGGTTGTAAGTCCACGTGTGGTTGCTGGGAATTGAACCTGAGTTCTCTGGAATGGCAGCCAGTGCTCTTAACTGTTAATCCATCTCTCCAGCTCTGTCAAAGATTTAACTTAAGGGCTGGAGAGATGGCTCAGCAGTTAAGAGCACCGACTTAACCACCTTGAATGAGATCTGGTACCCTCTGGTGGCATGCGGGCAGAAGACTGTATACATAATAAATAAATAAAATCTTTAAAAAAAGATTTAACTTAAACATTTTTATTTTAGATATATAAAACCATTTCCAAGGAAAGAATAGGACTGAAATATATTGTGTGAATTTTCTTAAAAACATCACACTTAAGGGGCTTCCGTTAGACATACTGGATTGATTTAATACTTAAAATAAAGAAGAATAATATTACAGATCATTGTACGAAATAGGAACTGAGAAGAGAAACATTTCCACACAGAAGGTCATGTCACCTTCTGAAATAATTAACACAAGAACAGAAGTTACTTATTCACGTGGCAGTTGATTGTTAAAGCAAGATAACAACAGAATATTGGCACAACAGTGAACTATTTTCTCTGAGAGAACATTAATAAGCCACAAAAGGGAAAACTGAAATTTCATATCATATAACCCAACAACTGCCAGAATGATTAAAAGATCAAGTTTCAAGCCAGGGAAATGAGATGGCCCAATGGGAAAAGAAACTTACTGCCAAGTCTAAAGACCTGAGTTCAGTCCCTGGAACCCACTAGGTGGAAGGAGAAAACCAAGTCTCTGGAGTTTACCTCTTAACTCTACTATAAACACACACACACACACACACACACACACACACACACACACACACACACACAAATCCCACAGATAATCCTATTGATTCTATATTTGAAACTACCCAGAACCCACAATTTTCAAGAAAATGAACCTCCACACCTCAGGCTCCTGCTGACATTTTCACATCCCATGGTGCAACTGGACAACCTTCTCCATGATATATTGCTCTGATCTAAACTCCCACCTCCCACCATGGAAAAACTTTAAGGTGACCAAGTGGTCTAGGCAATCTACACCCAACACACCCATCCCCGCTCACTCCACTTGTGAATGTGGAAGGCTGAATTGTGTCCTTCAAAGACTCATTGGGGAAGACTTCACATCTAAGAACTTAGGATGTGGCTATCATGGAGACAGTGTCTTTTAAAAAGGTAATTATGTTAGAATGAGATTACTAATGTGTCCTAATGTAACTGGCGTCTATTTGGAGATCAGGGCACAGACACATAAAGAGGGAGAAGACACAATCCACAATGAGTGACCCAAGCTTCAGCAGACACAGCCTGTGGATATCTTAATGTCTGGCTTTCTGATCCAGAACTGTAAGAAATTTAACTTCTATCAAGTCACCCAGTCTGTGGCATCCTTGGCAATGTATTAGCAATTTTCCTTCCTCTCAGATCACTAGGTTCCAGCCAACTTGGTCTCGCTAATGTTCCAGACACACCAAAGTGCTTTGCTTCAGAACAACTGAGTTTTCCCTCCATCCAGCACTCTGTTCAGCTCTCACCCACTCACCCCAGCTCCCTTGTCACATGCTTGAGGTTTAAGGGAAAGGCTACTTAAAGCAGTACTCCACCTTTGACACAGCTATCTTTCCCTATGCTTTTCTCTCATTGTTCTGAGTGTGTTTTCCTTATTAATGTAACTTTCCCTCTAATAAACAAGGAAGAAATTCTGTTGCTTACTTCTGAATCTCTTGCACCAAAATGCACACAAGTGATCATGTATTTAGTGAATAAAACTAATGTTTCTTTGGCACTTACTTTTTCAGGACTGAGATGACATCAGTAGTTGTTCCCAAGTCTAAATCAGTGGTGGGATCATCCAGGAACAAAATGGGATGCTCAATGACCAGCTCCATTGCTATACTGGTCCTCTTCCTGAGCTCCTTAGATCTAGGCTAAAGCAACAACCACCATCATTATCAACAAAAACAACTACAGTCATCGTCATTTGGTGAACTAGCCCATCCCAGCCATAAAGGGTTTTGTTATAACAATATCCTGAGGAGTAGAGTGTGGGCATCAGGAAGAAGAAGGAGGATGTTCCTCTTTTCCAAAGAAGTAGAAAAAGGCTCAGGTCAGAGTTGACATGAAACTTGTGACAATTACTGTTTGTTCTTTAACAAGTTACATATTTGAGGGCAATGAGTTTTCAAACTCTCAGACTGGCACAGTGGAATCTCTGTCTAAGGAATGAGGATGAAGGGACAGGAAAAGATGAAGTATGTCTCATAATTCATAGTCATTTAACACCCTCCCAGCACACACACACACACACACACACACACACACACACACACACACACACACACACACAAACAGAGAGAGAGAGAGAGAGAGAGAAGGAAAATAACAGAGGGAGAGAGAGAGAGAGAGAAACCTTTTTGAAAGTTATCATTTAAAAGTTATGGGGTAACACTAACCAAAAATGTGAAAGACCTGTACAGTAAGAATTTTGAGTCTTTAAAGAAAGAAATTAAAAGAAGACACCAAAAAGTGGAAGGATCTCCCATGTTCTTGGATAGGTAGGAACAAATAGTAAAAATGGCAATCTTGCCAAAAGCAATCTACAGATTCAATGCGAAAGTTATCATTTAAAAGTTATGGGGTAACACTAACCAAAAATGTGAAAGACCTGTACAGTAAGAATTTTGAGTCTTTAAAGAAAGAAATTAAAAGAAGACACCAAAAAGTGGAAGGATCTCCCATGTTCTTGGATAGGTAGGAACAAATAGTAAAAATGGCAATCTTGCCAAAAGCAATCTACAGATTCAATGCAATCCCCATCAAAATCCCAACACAATTCTTCACAGACGTTACAAGAACAATTCTCAACTTTATGTGGAGAAAAAAAAAAGACTCATAATAGCCAAAACAACCCTGTAATAAAGGAACTTCTGGAGGATCACCATCCCTGACTTCAAGCTCTATTACAGAGCTATAATCCTGAAAACAGATTGGTATTGGCCCAAAAATAGACAGGTAGACCAATGGAATAGAGTTGAAAACCCTGATACTAACCCACACACCAACGAACAACTGACTTTTGACAAACAAGCTAAATTTATACGATGGAATAAAGAAAGCATCTTCAACAAATGGTGCTGGCATAACTGGATACTAGCATGTAGAATACGGCAGATAGATGCAAGTCTATCGCCATGCACAAAACTTAAGTCCAAATGGATCAAAGGCCTCAACATAAACCCAGCCACATTGAACTTATTAGAAGAGAAAGTAGGAAATACCCTAAAACGAATTGGTACAGGAGACTGCTTCCTCCTAACTCCTGTAGCACAGACACTGAGATCAAAAATTGATAAATGGGACCTCCTGAAACTGAGAAGCTTCTGTAAGGCAAAGGACACAGTCAGCAAGACAAAACGGCAGCCCACAGACTGGGAAAAGACATTCACCAACCCCACATTTGACAGAGGGTTGATCTCCAAAATTTACAAAGAATTCAAGAAGCTAGTCTCCAAAACACCAAATAATCCACTTAATAAGTGGGGTACAGAACTAAATAGACAATTCTCAGTAGAGGAATCTAAAATGGCTAAAAGACACATAAGAAAGTGTTCAACATCCTTAGCCATCAGGGAAATGCAAATCAAAACAACTCTGAGATACTAGCTTACTCCTGTCGAAAGGCTAAAATAAAAAACACCAATGATAGCTTATGCTGGAGAGGATCGGGAGAAAGGGGAACACTCCTCCATTGCTGGTGGGAGTGCCATCTTGTATAGCCACTTTGTAAATCAGTATGGTGGCTCCTTAGGAAAATGGGAATCACTCTACCACAAGATCCAGCAATTCCACTCAAAAGATGCACATTTATATAACAAGGATATCTGTTCAATCATGTTCATAGCAGCATTATTTGTAATAGCCAGAACCTGAAAGCAACCTAGATGCCCCTCAACTGAAGAATGGATAGAGAAAATGTGGTACATTTACACAATGGAGTACTACTCAGCAGAAAAAACAATGGAATCTTGAAATTCACAGGCAAATGGATGGAACTAGAAGAAACCATTCTGAGCGAGGTAACCCAGTCACAAAAAGACAAACATGCCTTTGTCCAGCAACTGGTGGAAGTAGAAGCAGACACCCACAACTAATCACTGAACTGAACTGGAATCCAGTTGCAGAGAAGGACGAGTGATGAGCAAAGGGGTCCAGACCAGGCTGGTGAAACCCACAGAACAGCCTACCTGAACAACAGGGAGCTCTTGGTCCCCAGAATGATAGCTGGGAAAACAGCACGGGACATATCCAGACCCCAGGAATGTGGGTGTCAGTGAGGAGACCTCAGAACTCTATGGGGCCTCCTGTAGTAGATCAGTACTTATCCCTAGCATAGGTGTGGACTTTTGGAGCCCATTCTACATAGAGGGATACTCCCTGAACCAACACACACGGGGGTGGGCCTACACCCTATCCCAAAGGATATGACAGACTCTGAAGCACCCCTATGGAAGGCCTCACCCTCCCTGGGGAGCAGAAAGGGTATGGGATAGGTAGGGTTTTCGCTGGAAAGGGTGGTAGGGGAGGAGGAGAGGGAGAGGGAACTGGGATTGACATGTAAAACAATCTTGTTTCTAATTCAAATAAAAAAATGGAGACAAATGTTATGTTGAAATTTTTGCCATCTACTACATTTCATGACTAGAAAAAGGTAGTAAACACCTTCATATGTTGTCAATTAAAAATCAATTAGAGCCCATCCCACTTGAAGGGATGTGCTCTGTCTCTGAACACATGGGGAGTGGCCTAGGCCCAGCACAGGAAGATTTGGTGGACTTGGTGGAGCCCTGGTTGGGGGCCCTACTCTTCCTGGGGAGGTTATTCTTAAACATAGAAAAGAAAGTATTTTATTATAAATATAAACCAACATTAAGAAACAGAGCCAAAGCACACAAAAATTCCACCAATCATATAAAAAGAAAGTGTGGGAAATGTCAGCTTTTCTATTGTTCTTTCCAAGAAGACAAACATCTCATAAACGACTGTGGAGATGTATCATGGTAGTCAAGAGCCAGTATCTTCCTGTTCCCCACTGCCTCTAAGGAGGAGCCAGCACAGAAGTTAATCTGTGGTGATATCTTTCCTGCAAAAATGAAGCCTGTCTGGGGGTCAGAGAATGGAGCTTGCCACTAGCTAAACATAGGGGTCCTGGAGGTCTGAACAGACAGACTGGAAGTGATGTAGCTGGGCAGAGACTGCCACTATATACCATAGAGGTCTGGATCTGTACAAACAGGCAGGAAGTGACATAGCTGGTAACTATGGACATTAATGGTAACTAAACAAGGACAAACAGAAAATCGCTCTCTTCTCTGTGGAGATGCTTAGGAGGTAGGTGTGCTGTGGCTTTCTCCTTCTCTCTGATCTCTCAGCATTTCTCTCTATATCTGATTCTGGCCTTTTATTATCTAGACCAATTAAGGACTCCTATTTCATATATCCATGAGAATCCTAGTCTGGAGATACCATTTTCATCCATACCTCCACTTGTCTGCTCAGCAGACATCTACATATAGTCTTCTCAATAGGAAACAAGGACACAAGAAGAAGGAAGCAATCTTGACATTATAATCTCTGAGCATATAAAAATACAGTAACTATCAGATTCTACAAACAACATAATAATAAGAACATTTGGGGAATGTGAATGGTTATAACCCTGACAAAGCTGAAGATATCAAGAATTTGTTCGTCTTGATAGTTAAGTGTGGAATTTTTGAGATAAACAACTGTCCCTGTTTTTGAAAAATTAAGAAAAATTAAGGATTCAGGAATACAGGATTGTATAATATTCTAATATGTCAGTAAGAACTAGTTAGACGTGAGGTTCACCTCTTGTCTATTATCCTTCCTGATCCTGCACAAAACCTCATAAGAATCAACAGGTCCATTTGTTGTGGCTCTTGCTCATCTGTATCATTAACAACTAACACAGGAGATGGCAATTAATATTGACAAAAGATAAGGAAACGGAGTGTGAGAGCAAAAGGATATCCTAGGTTTCGATTTACTTGCAAAGATAAAATGATCTTACAAAAAGTAAACAGGGAGCAACAGTTTTTACTTCTACACAGTTCAAAAGTACAGTTCCTCCATTGCAGGAAGCTGATGGAGCTGGTTACATCCAGTCAAGAGCACAGAGAGGATGAATGCATGCATGTCTGTCAGTGCTCAACTCACATTCTCCATTTTTATGCAACCCAGGACTCAAACCCAAAGAATAGTGCGGCCTATGATGGGCTGGGTCTTTCCACATCTCTTAACTTAATCAAGACGATCACATACAGAGATGTCCTGAAGGCAACCTGACTATAATTCCTCATTGCGAATCACCTTCTGGGTGATTCCTTTTGATTCTAGACTGTGTCGACTTGACAGTTAAAACAAGCCACCACAGACAGGATAGGAGATAAACACAAAGAGAATGGCTACAGGAAATAACAGGCACCAGACAAGCAAAAGTAAATGCTAAAGAGGCCAAGTACAACCCTGAAGGGAAATGAATGCAGAGTGAAACACAGAGCCAGAGTCCTCCATCTCACGTCCTATGTCAGTCCAGAAATAGAATCTAAAACAACAAAGGAGCAAGTCTTGTAGGAGAAGAGACAAGAAACAGGGGAAAGCCCTTGTCATATTCTCTAAAGATTCAAGAGTTTCAGGCTGAAGGAAGAGGAAGCTCATGTGAGGAACACACGAAAATGGCCATGTGAGGAACACTTTTTCCTCCTGCATCACACTCTATTCCCAGGCTTGACCATTGCTTAATTTCCTCTTTACGTCACTCACTCGTAAACACAGAGAACAGAAATCTTGACACACTCGCTATAGGATACATATTATCCACACAGAGATTTTTTTTGCTCTGAATTTTTAAAAGACTTTTCTTCACATTACCTTGACATTTGACTCCTCATCCAGATGCAGAAGTCCAAGGACCTCATTAATTCGACTTCTTTTTTCATCTCTTGTTATAGACGTTGGAAGTCGAAGAGCTGCTGAGAACTCTACATTTTCTCTCACACTCACTGTGTGCATCACCATGTCATTCTTAAGGTTAAATGGAATTTTAATTAAATATAGTTATCAGAAAGACATCACACTAACAAATGTAACCTAATCCTCATGGAAACAATACTCTAATACTCTACTGAAAAATAGTATTTCAATGTTACTAGTTTCAACTACAGAGCAATCATTTTCATCCCCCTCCTATTTGCCTTCCAAGTAGAGCTCTGGGATTTGGGTGACTGCTACCTACAATTATTGCAGAAAACATCTAAGCAGTGGAGAAAGATGAAGGAAGGGCAAGGTTTGACAACAGTAGTCCTGTGTAGAATTAAATCACAGCTGAAATTAATAATACTGTACCATAAATGTCACAGTCAATCCCTCCCCATCTTCCTATTTAATAATGCCAGCCTCAGGCTAATGAGTCATTAAGAAAAGATGTTGTAGAGAAAGTTGGGCCTATAAACGTGTCATATAATGAACTGGAAACACACAAATATACAAGCTGAGCATCTAACCATACAGGGAAAGAAGAAATATAAAATTACAAACCCACCAACACTTACTTGTGGGACATAACCAGAAGTACATTTAAAATTAGCAGGTCGAGGTTTTCCATTTATCAATATATCGCCTGTTAATCCACGTGGATCTTTCCTTGCAGCTAAGACATCTAGTAACCTACAGAGGGTTATATATGTTATGTAGTTTTCTTTCTCACTTCAGTAATAACCTATCACCTTAGCCACTAAGAGTTAAAATTATTCATGTCAAAAGTTTAGCTGAAAACACACACACACACACACACACACACACACACACACACACTCTCTCACATACTACTTTCTTCTCACTATGTGCTCTAATACAGCCCAGAATTATGAATGCAAGACAATATCCATACGAACACCCAGCCCCTCCATGCTATCTGACCTTGGGGACTAAAATAGGTAATGTCCTTCTGTATTTTGAAAATTAGGCCTGGTGATACTTTCTTTTCCCCAGAAACTTCTTCTTCATCTTTCTACTTTTAATAATATCTCCCCCATATTAAATAATAATATGAACCCACAGCAAATGCCAACTGCTCTATCATTTCCCATCAGTAATTGACCTAGTTTCTTATGGTGGTAGAAAATGAGAATGCACCCTCCTGCACATTATCTACAGCACATGGGACAGACTCACACATATACACTCACACAGTACTTAGATAACTCATATAGAGGTGATTTTACAGCAGGGAAACTGGATGCAAAGGCCTTGCACATGCTTTCTGTTATACTCACAAAGATCTGCTCCCGTCCTGAGGTCCCATGATGGCATTGAGGCCAGGTTTCATGATCCCGCTGCAAACACAAAATCAAACTGGGTGATTTTCATATCTAAAAGAAATTAATTACCTTAGTGTCTACACTTAATATCCTACTGAAACTAGATGAAACTGTACATAAAAAATAAGCAAATACCCATAGAAAAATAAAATATTAATAGAGTTCTATCTTTTATAAAAGATGTCAATTGCTACTGGGGAGTTACCAGAAAAAATGGTTCAGACATCATAAAATCACTTTTGTTCATTATTTAAATGACTGATTTGTTTTGATATATGGTACATCTATATTCAGTGTTCCGTGAAATAAGTATCAGGTTCTCATGAGGACTCCATTACTCATACATACTGCCTGTATGGGTCATGTATGTAATATCCTCTTGCTAAAATTTGATGATCAGTATCTTCATATAGCTCTGCTCGCTGCCTAGTCGACCTCATCACATGAATCAACAAGTCAAGGGATATCAGTAGATGTGTCCTTACTATTAAAATAGAATCAAATCAAAGTCAATGCATCTTATATAGAAATCCAAACACTAGAAAGAAGTGCTCCAGAGGACAGAAGACCATTGCCAAGTTTAACACTCAAAACAACAAGAAAACCATCTGACTCAAAACAGAAAAGCTAAACACATACATACAAAATGGTAATTTCCTTCCCTGACAAAGAGATTAGAATATGCTCAGTTTAGAGTTGGGAGTCATCCCTCACAGAGAGGACATTCTTCATTGATGAACAGGACAGCACAAATACAAGTTGTGCCGGAAAACTGATTCAGAGTAGTTAGTATTCAGATTGAAAAAAGGCTTTTTCTTATAGAAAATTTAGCTCTGTTCCCATTTGTTGTTTCATATCTGGACAATGTGTTAATCATTTCCCTTGCCATTCCCCTCTTGGTTAGAAAATGATGGAGTTTGTAGGTGTAGGAGCAGAAACAATAGTGCCCAAGAACAGAGGCAATGGTTGGTTTGGGGACAAAGTGTCTATGCAGACTGAGCTGGACAATTCTTGGTGTGTGTGCTCTGTCCTTAGAATTGGTTGGAAGTCTGCCTTTTCTATTTTATGCAACAATGTGTAGAATGTTGGCTTTAGCTCTTTATAGCTCTGGATGAATTTTGAGTAAACACATGAGGACACCCACTTTCTGCTGTTGGGACTTGCTCATTGCTTCCATCTCATCTCTTGTAACTGCCCCAGTCAGCCTGTTATAAACTCTCAAGTCAGTTTTGGGAGTACATGATCATATAGAATCCTATACAGTCTTTAATATACTCAAATATCTAGGAATTAAATTTTCAATATTCCCTTATCATCCTTTGGTTTTAACAGGGTATCTTTGATATTATCACTGATTTTATTGAATTAAAATCATTTCTATGAATTTTTAAAGTATATTTTAGAGATTGTCAAGCTTTAGAATAAACCTGTTTTTGTTTTTGTTGTTGTTTTGTTTTGTTTTTTTCCAGTAAGGGTTTCTCTGTGGGTTTGGAGGCTGTCCTGGAACTAGCTCTTGTAGATCAGGCTGGTCTCAAACTCACAGAGATCCAACAGCCTCTGCCTCCCGAGTACTGGGATTAAAGGCCTGTGCCAACACCACCCGGTTGAAGCAACTTTTTATGTCATTAATCCATTATATTGTTCTTTTAGTTTCCATCTCATTAATTTCACTGTGACCATGAGTCTATCTGTATGTATGAGAAGATGTACCTGGGGGAAAGTTCAATGGTTGAAGAACTTCCGGTGTGAGAACCTAAGTTGAACATCCAGAATACACATAAAGTTGGGTGCAGTCCTGGACACCTGTAAATTCATGCTCCATGGAGAGATGAGAGACAGAGACAGGGGAATCCCAGGACTCTTGCAGGCTGCTAGGCTGGAATATACCTCAGTGGACAATTAGAGAGACTGTCTGCTACAGGGTAGAAGGTGCACACCAGTGCTCAAGGTTGTCCTCTTATGGCCTTGTGCCATGGTGTGTCAATGCATGCACACATCTGCACATGTGAACATGCACACAGATACAATTATATACACACATACACACAGTAACACATGACTACAGACAAAGGCATGAACAATATACAGAATATTAATAATAGAGAAGTCTATGCTTGTTGAAAAATTTGTTCAGTATACTTATCTCTTCAGTTCATGCACATACCTGATATTTGATAGTCTTTCTATCACACAAGTTTCTTTACAAAATGGAAAGCCACTCTGCACTGTTTCTCCATAGCTGATATTATGAAAACTTAACACAGCCTCTCCAGTCAATGTCTCAGGGTCCCTGGTGTCCATTACAGGAAGGTCACTGGAAATTCTTTCTATCATTGGGATTACAACAGGGTCATTATTGGAAGACATCTTGAGAGGTTCTTCCTGTAGAAGGAACAGCAATAGTAAATTGATGGATACACAAACAACACTATGACACAGGACAGCACACTTACAGATTGTATTAACTGTGCAGCCACAAGCACATTCCTTCCAGATGAGAAGCAGACATAATGGAGTACATACACTCCCCTTAGATATCAAATTTCTAGGAAACAAATGACCCCAATTGAGTATAGTATAAATTTTGGTATTCATAAGTCATAAAGGATGAAGGGAACAGATAGAGGGTCAGATTTCTTTAACAAAAAGCATATTATGATATTATATAAGCTCAGAGGTAGAATACATGACTACCATTACCACATCTCTTATGCATATATTCATATATTACAGTTCAGAGTTTTAGTTCATTAGCATCATGGTGGGACATAGTGGCATAGACGCACACATTTTGCTGGAAATGAAGCTGAGAGTTCTACACAGGAAGCAGTCTGTCTCACTCATATATGAGGCCACAAAGCCTACCTCCACAGTGATACACTTTATTCAACAATACCACACTTATTCCAACAGGACTTACCTCTTACTACTGCCAATTCCTTTGAGGGGCATTTTTTTCAAACCACCACTGTCACTGGCAAGGCTTATGTGCCTCTCCTACAACCATAGGGCCATTGTGCAGGTTATCATTGATGTGATTCATGAGTGTCATTGCTAGATAGTGTGGACTGGTGTTGTCTCTCTCCTTTGGAAGCTTTCATTATGCCTTCTAGTTCCATGAAAGATAGAGGTCAGGGCAGGGCAGGGAGGGGAGGGGAAGCATCTAAGTCAGTTAGAACTCAGGGGCTTCCAGGTACTGTGCCTGAAGAGCATGGTGTCTTCAGCAATGTGGAATTAGCATCCACCTTTGGGGGATAACTAAGGGAAACAGCAATAGACTGTATGTCTTAGGAGGGTCTTAGACAGACCTCACCAACAACTCAAAAGAGGGCTGCTCATGTGTGATATTTGTTTTTTTTTCCTTAGGTGGTCTTTTCGATTTCTATCAGCCTAGATAAGAAAGGTTCATTAAAACTATATATGTAAATGTATACAGTGAATTGTGGGCATTATAGCTTATATTAATTTAGGGAAATAGTTAATAGTGTGATTCCTTGAGGCTATCTCATCCATCCATATTGGTATTTTGCATTCATCCAAACTTCTTCTGTGCTTACCTCACTCCCCCTTTCTTAAGGAAAACACCTTTTTTCCTATTAGATAAATTGTATCCTAAAAATATGAATCCTTCACAAATTTGTGTGTCATACTTCCGGAGGGGCCATGCTAATATTCTCTATCTTTACCCTTCTCCAATCCATACAATCTCTAGGCACCCACAAGTCAATAAACAGAGTTAACTGTGCTGTAGATCAAATGGTCTAGAAGACTTCTCCAGAGCCTTACCTGAGAAGTCACTGAAGAAATCAGCAAAGGTCATGCCCTACAGATTTTTTCTACTTGTCTCTTGGGATGCTCATCAGAACTGTAGTTGTTCAGTTAATCAGTCAGTAGAATCCATAAATTAGGGAAAGTGTATGGGACTTTTGTAGCTTTAAGCATATGAGTGTGTATTTATTCAGTTGATTTGGGATGCTATTGGTATCTTTAGGTATAAGACTCATATAAATCTATGAGTTTACATCCTCCTCAACAGCTCATCCATTTTTGCCAAGACAGATCACATCTTAATCTGTAAAGCAAGTTTTAACAAATAAAACCAGTAATTTTTGTATCCTACCAGATTGTAATCTCAGTAGATAGTCTTTGAAAAACTAAATGCATTCTTGATTACAGCCCTGAACAAACTAGAAAGAGAAAGTTCACACCTGCACAAAATGAAGGTTACTATGAGAATCCTACCAACAGCGTTATAAAGAATAGGAAATAACTCAAATTAGTTCCTCTAAATACAGGATAGAGCCAAGGTTGACCATCCCTCAACTATTATTTAATACAGGGCTTGAATCCTCAGAGAAGTACAACTAGAGAGAGTGTGGGAGCCCACAGCTGACTCAGTTTCCACCTGGATTTTATTCTGACCGAAGACATTAGGGTTAATGTTGCTTGTTTCAGTCTCCTTGAGAGCCGTTAGAAATTTCTGATTAAGCCCCAGAAAAGAGCATATTATCTAACTAACAAACTTCTGATGCCCGCCAAAAGGCACCTAGTGATAGGGAATGCAGCTGCTTGCTGCTAGCAGGACTCATGTGATGGATAGTGAGCCCGGATGCTCCTCGAGCCAAGGAAAGTGCAGGGAGCTGGTTAATTGACCATGCTTTGCCTCTAGTCTGTATATAAGCAGTGTCTAAATTAAACTAGGGGTGTCTGGTGTGGTGAAAGGCACAGACTGGGTCAGTCCTCCTGAATCTATCCTGTGTTTTTTGTGTCTGTTTCTTTATCTGCCATTTCTCAATCCTCATGCCCCTATTCAGGTAACCCAGCTGACCCTTTGGAGAAGCTCTGAGTAGAGAGAAAGAGAAAGAGGACAAGAAGAAATTAAATTACCTTATAAGTAGATGAAATGATTCTATGTTTAAAATCCCACCATGTCCGCAAAACACTTGCCTAACATATAGAAGAATCTGAATTTGGTCCTCTGAAACTCATACCACGAAAAAGTCCCTGAAAACCATCCTGATCATACAGTGTTCAAATGCACTGAGATGTCACGTGGTACTCCCCAAATACATGCAATATGGCTACAAGGTAAGTATTTAACAAATTATTAAAGAGCATGAAATTTACATAAACCATACAAAACCTTATTTATCTTTAATTAAGACCTGCTCATCAAGAGTTCTGTAACAATCAGGGAAGGAAATGACAACTTCAGGTTACCTTAGCAGAGGCACTGCAGCTGCCATAGCCTTATTTTGAGTCTCTTCCCCGTCTCATATTAACACACACAAGAGATGTTCCCTCTCAGGCAAGTCCAGGAGAAGCTTCTATGAAAAGACACGATGTTTCCCCTTCTTGCTCCTGAGCTGTGTGACTGATTGGCCCTTTACTCACTATGGTCTCAAGAATGCAACTTAAGGGGCTGGAGAGAAGGCTCAGCAGTTAGGAGCACATACCACTCCTGCAGAGGACCTGGCTTCCATTCCCAGAACCTATATAGGAGACTTCCAACTGTCAGCAACTCCAGTTCCAGGGGATCCAGTGCCCTCTCTGTCTTCCAAGGGCACCAGGTATGCATGCAGTGCCCTTATACACATGAGAGCAAAACACTCATATGCATCAAATAAAAATGAATACATCACTGAAAATGTAACTCAACTGAGCATTTGAAGGCCCCTAAATGTATCTTGTGCTCTCTGATGTTCTGTCTCATAACAACTCTCCATTTTACCTTTTATTTTATTTTCTACTCATGATATTTATCCTCTTTCAGATGTTTCACAGATACTTAGCCACAGCTAAGTGCAGGAAAACATTCTGCCTGTGTGTGCCTTTTAATACACATTGAGTGAAGAGAATACACTGTTGGAGAGGCATGTGTCAATTCCATTAAGTAGGGAATTCAGTGCAAAGACCCAGTCCTGGGCACATGGCACTTCATAAGTATGTGTTACTATTAAACTTTCCCTATTTATAAAACTAGACAAGCCATTACATTTCTAGTAGTACATTTCACACAGGAAAAGAAAAGAAACTAGCATTATAGACACACATTCCACTGAAAGGTTTACAATGTACTTGTTCTGGCCTTTAATTTCTCTGTCTGTTCAAACTGTTTCCCTACTATCTGAGTAAGAGTTGTAAGAAGTTGGTGAATATCTGTATAGCAAACTAGAGGCTTGTGCACACATTTTAAATCAGGAGATTAAAAAAAAAGAATGAATTGTTCATTTCCCTTAAAATACCAGTGGCAACACATTTCCTTTGCACTTGTGTTAACTTCCCTACTTGATAAAACTTTTAGCAACCCAACATCAACTTTATTTACCTTCACTCATTTGGAAATCAGCGATTGTACATCTTTAACCCACCCCAAACACCATAAAGTCTCTCTACAGACAGATGACATGAAGAGTAGTTTGCATTTCACATTTGCAAATGAAGCTACAAAGGATTTCCCAGCCCTGTCTACCCACACTCACCAGGGTCAGGTGCGGGGGCCCAGTCAGCTTGTGCACAGGATGGGAGGAGAACTGAAGCTCTGGCTTGAGGCTCAGACTTTTGCCCCACAGGTTCCAGGAGGTGATGCTTCCAGGCTACCTTTGCTGCCCGCCTTCAGGGTGTGGGGACCTGGGTGCCTCCCTAACAGAAGAGGAAGTAGAGCACAGGACTGGATGCTATGGTGGAGGGAGTGTGGAGGAGGGGCTCGTTTGGATGGGGGAGGGGCATAGAGTTATAACAAAACAAGGATATACACCAATGGGAAAGAGTAAGAGGCTCAGAAATAAATCCGTGAATTAACTATCACCTGATGTTTACCAAGAGTGTCAAGAACACACACAGCAGGAGGACAGTGTCTTCAACAAAAAGTGGTGGGGAAACAGGGCATCCAATGCAGAAAGGAGAATTAGACCCTATGCACACTACACAGAAAAGTCAGCAAACAGATACAGAGTTCAGTGCTAAGATGTGAACCTGGACACAGCAATCCACCAGTGTGCGTGTACAAAGGCCATCAGACCAGCATAGGACAGGAATAGATGCAGTATTCAACAGCCAAGGAAGGACTCTACCTGCAGTGATGATTGGAAAGGAAAACACGCCATACATTTGCAAAGGGACTCTGATACAGACATACAAAACAAGAAATCCTGTGATATAAACATGCAGATGAACACAGCAAGCATCTAGGAAAGTGGAATAACTGGGCACAAAAAGACAAATTCCACAAGGTCCCACATACATACAAATCTTAAAAGTTGACTACAAAGAGCAGAATGCTGGTTACCCCTGTCTGGAGGAAGGGATACTCTATGAGGTATTAGACAAAATCCATAAAATTCCAGTTGCATAAGAAAGGAGATGTA